AAGCCTTCTTCAGCACGGTGCTCACCACTATTTCTTCCATGGAGGCTCGACGCCAGCACAAAGGACAGTAGTTTGAGTCCTCACTGCCTTGTGTGTCCCAGCTGTCTTTCAGACAGCCTTCACAAAAGCGGTGTCTGCAAGTTAGCACCACAGGTTGACTGAGAATATTCCCACAAATTGGACAGGAAAGGTCATCCTCTGTATGACCAAGTCTGGTTGCCATTCTCCACTGCACTCTGATGGCGAGGCAGGGATGCCTGATCAGACCCCTCCCAGGGCTTATGATGTCAACCTTACTTTACCCAAGAAATGCCTTCACACCGAGAGGTATATCCCGTATTATGGTGTTGTGTTGACCATGCACACTGAGCATTCTCAAATTAACACTTCTCTGAAGATGACAAATTAGCCTCAGCTGGAAGAGACTGTATCTCCATCCATGATGAAATAATAACCAGAGTAACTGGAGTCTGTTAGGAGAGAAGGGGGTGACAGTCCAATATTTGCACTTAGGATGGCCTTTGAATTGGAGTTAGACTCTCATCAACAACCAGTTATTTGAGAAGATTGATGAACAGGACAACTGCGATCAAATATTTCCAGACAATGTGCATCCAAAATAGGAGTTGTGAGGATATAAATAGTTAGAAGTCACCAAATAGAGCGGAGGCTGTGTGAGTTAAGAAATATTTTCCTGGTGACAGTTGGATATTTTTTCCACATTCGGCGTTAGCCTTAAGCTTGTAAAAACTGTTTCGTGGTTATTTTTAAAACGTCACAGTCGACTTCCCACATGATTTGAATGCCAGTTCAAAAAAGCCCTCATTTCTCAGCAGGCAATGTCACAGGCTCTTTTTAGGAGCTAAACAGACAAGACCATGACTATACTGTATGTAAATCAGTTGAGGATTATTTTGGTACTGAGTGACGATGGGGCAGTTATTTGACCTTAGCTGACCACCGCAGTCTGTCAGTTTCATTACTCTAATTTATGTTGACCTCAAACGGGCCCTGACAGTAATGTTTAAATAAGCCTTAGGAATATAATCTTCTGAGGACAAGTGCTACTGTGTATATGAACTTTAGGTTTACACACATGCGATGTTGGAATTCACAGTCTGCCTTCATCATGCAGGAGTGATTAGGTTCTGTTTTTAGAATGCAGCAGTTCAAACTATAAAAGCAAACGAGGAACTAAGAGGGACGTTTGGACACAGCATACATTTCTGGGCAGGATGAGAGCAAGGAGATTTTTTTTTAAATGAGTAGATTTGAAAGATTTAATTTAGACTTGTATCTGTAAAAAATATTATCATTATTATATAACTATTTAGTAGCAATAGATTTACATTTAGCATGAGTATGATTATTTTTAGAATATATTTTCTCCCTATTGAAATACCAGTTTTTTTATGCTTGTGGATTTCACCATGACTTGTAGTAGAATTTGTGCAGTAGGCTTCACACATTTAGGCCAAAAAATATATTTTTTTAACATTTATTAGTTTTCACACAGGAATGACTCAAATGTGACTTTTTGGAATGCAAGACAGGCAGTGTTCCAATAAAAGAAAGCACACGTTAACTGAACAATAAACAAGAGCTCATAATGGGGGTGGAAGGGGGATATGTTGCAATTGGTTACAGTAACAAAGCAAAGGCACGAGGTTTTAACCATGTGGATCGATGAAGGATTTATACCAGTGATCAGTCATTTACAGATTACAATGTTTAAAATCTGCTTTGTGCTGCTTCAAGACTCTAGTCACACAACATAGAGAATAATGCCTGCTCTGTGTACACTGCTTGAAGGGATGCCCTGTGGAAATACTGTGGTTCATGTGAGAATTAAAAGGAAGAATTGTACCATTTAACACTGAAATGCATGCAGATCTCACTTGTAATACTATGGACATTTTTATCTAACTGTAGATAACCTCAGCTGCTGACTGGTCATCACAAGTACACAAGATAGGGTCATTATTGATGCCACCACATGAGACAATATAACTGATTTTATATACAATATTTAATATGTAACATTAAGCATCTAAAACAAAGTCAATTAATTCAAACAATTGTTCTACTGTCACAGTACAATTACATTATTTTTAAAATAAAAAAAAATCACAAAAAAAAAACTATAACGTATTTTATACCCAGTGTTTTCACTCTTAAGATCATATACATAATTATCATTTAATACTTATTGGCTTTAAGAGCAAACTAATGAACTCTCACAGCAGTACCACTGGACATTCATACACCAACGAGAATCTGAAGACACCATGATTCACATCAGCTTCCTATCAGGATGATCGGAGGCACGCCCAGAACGCTGGTGCCGGACCTCAAGATGTTTACTCTGGACACGGTCGAAATGCTGAAGCAGCTCATTGTAATCTATCTGCAGTTGAGAAGCACGTTTGGAGGTTACCTTCTGCTTGGAGTCCATGTACTTGGACTCATCTACAGTCCTCATGAGCTCTGGATTTGGGACACAGCGCAGGCGATGGGACAGCAGCTGAAATGCCTGGCTCTGAGGCAGCAGCATCAGCAGGCCGTACAGTGCTTTGATCAGATAAGGGTTGTTTTCCACATCCAGGAGCTGGAGGCGCAGATAGGTGAAAATGGGACTTTCGATGAGCTGTACAAGTTTGTCTACCTCCATCAAGAAGTCCACTGTTACTTCTAAATCCCCGAACTTCTGGATGAGTTCATAGGCGTGCTTGTAGTTCTGTGTAAGGAAGCAGAGCGAAACAGTGGCCACCGGATTGTGGCACCAGGAACGATAAAGGCAACAAAAGAGAGCACAGCTCTCGGGAGTGCGCAAATCTTTCAGCTGGTTGCGTAACTGGAAGAGCTCAGCTGACGTTAGCAGGATAGTGTTGAGTGTTTGAACCATTGTTGAAGCAAATTTGAGGTCCTCTTCCTTTAACAAGATGTCTGCCATGGAGTGGAAGATGTTTTCAGCATGAAGCAACAAACACAGTTGCCTGATTATAAACGCTCCTCTGTTCTCCAGAAGTTTCCTCTCCAGACTCAGGCGTTTCAATAGGTTTATCATAAATTTGTAAAAATACGAGTTCATACTTGGAGTGGAGGGCGAAGAGTCCACTGTTTTGGACGCTGGGCTCTGTTGCTTCCCTGGCTTGACACCTTCTGGGACCTTGAGCTCCAGTTTGTTGTCTATGCCATCACAAGATCCAGCTTGGTCTGTCTGGCCAGCAGGAGACGATGCTATTTCAGCCAACACCTCAAGATCCTTCAGTATCACCTCGTCAGACTCATCCGACAGTGTCTTCAGCAGCATAGGAAACAAACTGTCAGTATGCCGGAACATCTTCCGTGGTGTTTTGATGTATAGGTGATATAGCCATTTCAGGACAGCTATTCGCGTCATCATGCCAGTGGAGGAGTCTCGGAGATGGCGGTCCAGCACCTGGACAATACCATCCAGGTCCAAAGTGACATGGGGCCTGTCAGCACTTGCCGGAGTAAAGAAACTGATGTTACTGAGTCCGACAGATTCTTGAGACGCATTTAGCATATCATTACTGTCTCCCTCCAGCTTAGGCTGACCAGGTGGTGAGCCTGTACTTGCACTCTTCTCCTCCTCCTCATCTTCATCGTCCTCAGCAGTTACCAGCTTCATCAGACTGTGATTACAAGCACTGGCAACTTCTTTGGTGCTTTTCTTTCTGTCGTCATATGACAGGCAGGGTAGTACTGCGGTTAAGATGCCAGAGGAGTATGGAAGCACCACTCGTCCTGCGAGCTGAATGAACTCCCTCATCCAAGTCATAGCCGTCAGTTGGATCAGGTCATTTGTTAGTTTGGTCTCATCTGCAACCTGGCAGTGGATAACCAAAATGTTGGCCATATCAGCAAACTTCACACTGGAGGGAGTCCTTTTAATCTCCTTCAGAAACTCCCCCAGCACCACCTCACATGTTCTGCGGATCTCTTTGCTGTTGTCTCCCAGGATTTGGAATAGGCCATCCAGAATTTCAGGGAGGTAGTCCAGGAGGTTTATGTCTGGAACAGACTCCAAAACATGGATCCATGATATGATGAACTGCCGGGCATACTGGTTATTGGAATAAATTCTTTCCCTCAGCAAAGGGACAAATGCCACCAAGTCGAATTTGTTACTTTCTGTCACTATGTCCTTCAACAGTCTGTCCAAGAGTTCTGATCCACTTTTCACATTAGGATCAGGATCTGCTGCGAGTTTGCTGAGACCATCAAAAAGTAGATTAAAGTGAGGCAACACTGCTCCTCTTGCTACTTTGACTATGTTATAAAGGGCCTCGCAGGCATAGTATCGCAGACGGCTGTCTGAGTCATTAAAGCACGTGAGCACTGGCTCAATCAACTCCTTAAGATAAAGACCCGAGTCCTTACCGAGTGCAATGGAACAGGCAGCCAGCCCAATGAGACCACCCTTACGACTGTGTGGATGCTGGGAGAGGGCAAACTCTGATGCCAGGATTTGGATTACATGTCTGATCTGGGTAGAATTATTTTGAGCGACAAAATCTCTCACCAATTTCTCGATTTCCAAAGCGGCAACTTTCCTCTTCTCGTACAGTTTATCATTCAGCGCTCGGACAATGTTGGGCGTCAGAGGCGAGAAGTCTTTTTCCGTGTTCATGGTCGCCGTGAAGTCAACTTGTTCTGTTAAAACCGGCGATAATCCCCGAAAAGCCTGTTTGCATTCAAGTCCGTGCAACAGAGAATTGACATGTATTTTATGAGCAAACCAGGAAGCCTGATAATACGGCGCAGCTGACCGGCAGCATCCGCCGGAAATACGTCATGATTGCTACACGTATTTGGGTCCGCTGGGCTCCACAACAAACAGTGCACGGTAGCTTCACTAGCTTTATATTCACGACCATTTATAGCTTGTACTACAACCCAAGGACTATATTTGTAAACTTAAAAACCTTTGGCTAGTGAAGATATTTATTTAGGTGAGCAGCGACGATGGAGAGCCGCTCCTCCTTACACTCTCAGCTCTCCACCATCATGGAGATAATGGCCAGGTCGGCTCTCTCACAAATCAGCAAACTGATGGATGAAGACTCGACTAAACACCGGCAAGAATTGTCACGATTATTGTCTACAAACTCAACCTTGGCAGAAAAAGTTACCAGTCTTGAGTGTGAATTAACCATTGTGAAAAAAGACTTACCTACTTTGTGTAAAAGTTATCGCACCGTTGGTGTTCAGACTGTCTGCTGTGCCACTGATAATGATGTAAACGGTAACTTTGACGTTTGTGTCTCTTCGACACCATCACTTGTCATACATCGAAGACTGCCTCTGCGTTAATGTTGTTGTTCATACCTTTTCTTCCTAGTGGCCGATTCACCTATCATAAAGGAAATCTTTGGAAAAGAAGGTTGTATAGATCTGTGGAAAGAAAATACCCCGGATCTTTTGGACAGAGTCGCAGACTCATCACAGCTTAATGAGAAGGTGAGAGAATGTATCTTATACAAAAGTGAAAAAGGTCTGCGCATTGAGAAACTGTCACATTAACATTACGCGCAGTGTTTAAGTTACAAAGTTGTTAAGCATTTTTAGTGTGGAGATGGTACAATACTGTTATTTGGTCATTGATTGGGGGATTGGGGAACCTACTACCGGTACTGGTACATCCTACCATTTCACGACCTCTGGTTTTGCAGTCTGTGACAGTTGTGTCTGATCAAATTCCTGTGGTAGAGATTAAAGAAAACGTTGAAAATCCTGTACATGGCCACCAGCAGATAACACTTTTTAAAGAAGGTAAGTGAATGACAGATTATTAGAACTGTGTAGTGCATGCAGCAAATTCACCAGCCTTACATTAATATACTGTTTACCTGTTGTATTTTTATGCAGCAAAACATGATGAAAGTACAGCTGCAGAACCAAAGCCAGTGGAAAACACTGCTGGTGACAGCACTCGAAATCTGTCATGTGGTCAGAAGGAAGTCCAGTCAGAGCCTGCAGCTTCAGCTGAAGAAATGTCCCTTGAATTGAGGTGCTTAAGTGACACAGAGGATGTCTTCAGCACTCATATAATTCCAATTGAAGATGATGATGAAGATGATGAAGATGATGTACAATTTGTTCAAGAAAGACAGCAACAACCTAAAGTTGATCCTATTGTTGGGCCCAGCCACAGCAAGGTCCAAACAAAATTAACAGATAACAATGAAATCACTGATTTGTTAAAAAATTCAAATAACTTGAGTATAAGTAACGTTAAGACATTCAATAAAATGAACAATGAAAAATATACATGCAAAATATGTAGCACCACATTTTACCACAAGGGCACTTTGACACATCACATGAAGTTACACAGATCCAACAGCATTTATCAGCAACATTTCCAACATCGGGGCAAATTAAACAAGCACATCTTTGTTCCTCCGATAAAGTTTCAAGGTGGAAGTAAGTCCTGTGAGTACTGTGGAAAGACCTTTGCAAACCCATCAGCTCTGAGAATCCACTATGTGGTCCACACTGGAGAGAAACCCTACAGTTGCTATTTATGTGGAAAAGGATTCACACAAAAAGGCAACCTAAAATGTCATTTACGTATCCATACTGGGGAGAGACCGTATCACTGTGGCCAATGTGGAAGGACTTTTACGCAAAAAGTGAACCTGAACTGTCATTTAATGGCACACAGAAACCGTGAGGTTGAGATACACAAGTCAGTCAATATCAACAACAATGTAAAGGCTGACCCCTGTGGTCAGTGACTGGTCTAACTGGGATAGTACACAGTATAATACAAACTGATATCATTGTATGTAATGTCATGTTTAGTATAACACAATGTGAAGTTATTCTTACAGATTGCCTTTCATATTCACTCACTTCTGTAAATAAAACCAGGTTTGTATTGATGGTTTCCATTAGCATCAGTGTTGCAATCACTGTCTGGCTTTATAATAAATAAGGCATACTTTTTTTTACATTGTTTAAGTTTTTTATCAATACTGTACATGTGTATAAACAGTACCTAGTTTTGTATGAACTAAAAGTTCAGATTTGCCAAAAAATAGACTGGGTTTGAAGGACATGGAAGTAAATAAACAAATATAAACAAACATGTTATTTTTGAGTAGTAAATAATGAAGCTCTTTATATTTTCAAATGATTTATATTCTTACCTTCAGCCATTATTAGAATAATTTATGCTTTTGCCATGATACATATTGGCAGAACTCACTTATGTTGTGACTATGTGGGATTCTGTGATATCTATGATATTATGTGAAATAATTCACATAAGCGTAACCTGTCTGCTTAAATTATTCACAGTAACTAAATGATGGTTTTTAGCCTAAAATTGAATATTTTCCATGGCACATCCAACAGCAGCAAGGTGGTTGAGAATTACCATGCTATTGAACATGGCATATCAAAAAGAAAATAATGAGACAATGTGACTGACGCCTTAAAGAACAGTAAAGTCATTCAGCCATAAAGAGTGCCTGTAAATCGTTTTAATATCATGTGACCACACACATCATTTCATAAAACAACAATGTTACTTCATTCTTTTCTCCCGTTTACAGGCCAAAAAGACAGGCTCAGCATTTTGAGAATGACCACATTTTGATGAGACTAACAATAAAGCAAACTGTTGTGAGTTGGTTACACTTCTCATTTGTTGTGAAGAGGTAGTTTGTACATTTGTGCTACACATTGTGCAAAAAACTGAGCATATTTTGGCATTATTGAACAAAGGCCATTGTGACCTTATTAACATGAGGTAATGCCAACCATGTGAGTTTGACAGCATGCATGATTTAAATTATTTTCAAAATACTTTCTGTAATCATTTGGAACACCTTTCTTCTGTTTATATACAGTAACAGAACTGTACATATCAGATGGTTGGACATAGCATATGTATGTGTTAGGTGTGCTCTACTCGATCCTGCCATTTCAACAGACATTATAAAAAAGTACCAATACTAGTGTTTCTATTTTCTGTCTTAATACTGCGGCACATCTCGTATAAGGAAATAAAAAAACACAGCAAACAAGCTTAGATTTCACAGCAGTACTGTTAATTCAATTTTCTATTAAAATCTGACTTTATTTTAATGAGTATTTTTTTAACTTTCCCTTTGTACTGTACAAATTGGCACGAGTACAGTATATCTACTCTGAACACAGTCGAAAGAACTTCCTGTCAAACATGAACCTTTCACTGGTTACAAAGCTCATTGAGTGGTTTGGTTGAAACACTGGTGGTGGTTGAGACCGTACTTATATGCGTAACACTTCCCGCAACCCAGGCAACTGTACGGCTTCTCACCAGTGTGTGTCCGTAGATGTATGTTCAGAGAGCTTTTCTGGGAAAAACTTTTGCCGCAGTTTGGACAGCTGTATGGCTTCTCTCCTGAGTGCACACGCTGATGCAATTTCAAATATGTTTTCTGGGCAAATGGCTTACCGCAAACGGAGCAACTAAACGGCTTCTCGCCAGAGTGTCGTCGGACATGGACTTTCAAACTACTCAAGTAGTTAAACATTTTCCCACAGAATAAGCACTCAAACCGTTTCTTGGGCTTCACGAGCCTCGGCTGAATGGTAGGGGCTTCAATTGTACTTATTTGGATATTATCGCCATAGTTAGAAAACTCAGCTGTCGCTGAAGAAGGATTTGCGTTGTTGGACAGAGTGCTCATTGTTGCATCATCTATTATCTTGTCCATAATTGTTGGTTGATTCCTTTGTTGTGTTTGACTGTCAGTTGCTACAGGAAAGGTGTTTAATTCTCCCGAGTGGAGCTGCAGGTCATCAACAGGTCTATGAAGCAAATTCTCCTCTCCAAAAATCCCAGCAACTGTCCGTAAGAACAAGAGTAGTTATATAACAGAACCATCAGAAATACAATTATTTGTCAATAATCTAAGCTTACTTTTTCTATTGTCTGTGTAATTCATATGCTGTCCAATAGGATGCTCATCATACATCTCCTCCTTTATGTAGATAAGATCAGGTTCTCTCACCGTCAAGTCTATCGACTATCAATAAGACAGTTGGAACACAAAAGTACATATTAATAGTTTTTTTAATTATCAAAAAAAGGAGTTGTAAAATTGATCAACTGACCGGAATGGCCATGCTTGTCATTGCAGCGGGCTCCATCGTATCTTTTCCGTGAGAAGGGAGTTTCTCTTCTCTCCAAAAGTCCATACACCAGTCTTTTCCAAATACCCCATCAATGGCTGGAGCTGAATGCTGCTGATCTGGAAGATGAAGATGAATAAGCAGGTAAGAAATATTTTAATGAAGTATGAATTTCTGAGGTAATGTAAACTCTGTCACCAACAAATAAAGATTTGATAATAAGGTCTATATTTTGGGGCCATGATGTCTGTTTCTTATAGTATGTGGTTTTTTACACAGCATTTCATAAAGGAAACCTTCTGTAATGCTCTAGTGGTGGCTACAAATCATTTAACAAGAGAACTGAGTTGTTGTAAAAATAGTGTGAAACTGCAGCTGTTCAACGGATGTTAACTGAAGAGTCTCTATTACTGTCTATTATGTGCTATATACAGTACATATATATATGTACACACAGACACTGTATACACACACACATATATATATGCAGCCATATATACCCACACACAAATATAGATATAGTGTATGTGTAAAAAAATAATTATTATTGCTCAATTAGCTAAATAAATGTTTTGTTGTTGTTTTTTAATCAAAATAGTAACAGACAACCCCTTCTAGGATAGCAACTGTGGGCAGTCATGGCTCATCATACAAGCAGCCACCACCATATGACAAGGTGCATATTTTTATTCAGTTGGTAATTACTCTTAAACTAAATGTACGACTTCATAAGTTGTAAAACAATTTTATTAAGTTATGGCGTTAGATTCATATTAAATAATGTTTGTACCAACATCTTGACCTCATGGACGAGGACTTTTACAAAAAGAGTTCTTAGCACCTCCTGCAGGTAAGAGAGAGGCACTACTTGCTGTGTTGAAAAACACAGATGACCAAAATTATACCAATCTCTCTAGAATTAAAACAAGCAATTAAGTTTTGAAAGTTTAATTTTAGTCAGCAAGTACCAACAGAAGAATCCATTTTTGTCCTAGTGTAATACATTTATTCTGCTCCCCCACGCCCCTTTGCAGAGGCTTCTATCTAAAGGTCCCGCCCCCACAGTTTAATATGACTTTCAATAAAGCTTAGATATTTGAAAAACTGTAGTTTCACCGCGGTGACCGCGCTGACCTGCAGTGTGACGCCCACCAACACTGTTGACGGGGGCGGGAAAGCCCTGCGCCTCCTTGGCAGCCCTCAGCTGGACCTCCAATGAGTAGCACCGCTTCTTCAGAGCCTCGTTCTCCGTTTTATGCAGCGATATCTCGGTGTGAAGGACGGAGCAGCACTCGTCTGCCAGGTTGCCGATCTCAACCAGAGCCGCTTTCGTTAATTTTTCTAGAACAGCGGCCAACTGAGTCCGGAAACTGCGGTTAGTGGTGTCGCACATCATCCTTAATGAAACGATAGCCGTAAATTATTGAAAAATTCCAGCGTAGCAACGCTGGTCTGTAGTCCAATGTGTGCCCCAACGATGCCGCAATGGACTATGGGTACTTTTCTGGGGTTCCGTTTCTATTGAGGACAGGAAACAACTATATGCACATATATATACATATTTAGACCCATGTATATGTATATACATATATACATATAAATAACTATATAAATGTATATTAGTTCAGATTTATTTGTTTTAATGCCTTTGTCTGCTTCATTTGTGGTGTTAAAACCCAAAGAAAAAACAATGAGTAAGACAGTAAAAACATTAGGATGCTCATTCCACAGCACAACATCAGAACAATAAAACAGAACAAGCTCAAATCTTTTTATTTCAGTCAAACATCATAAAAAAGCATCATGACAGACTCTTTTAAATGGTTCCGTCAATTAATGTAGCACTAAATGTTGCTGAATCAGATTCCACGTCACACATGTTCAAACCAGGCTCTAAATGTACTAAAAGGTGTTTTTTCAGATTACAGTTCTTGGTAAATCCTTTACCACATTTAATACAAACAAAAGGTCTTTCTCCTGTGTGTGTCCGTTGGTGCATATCAAGAGTGCACTTCTGAATAAAGCCCTTTCCACAAATAGGACAGCGGTATGGTTTCTCCCCAGTGTGTGTGCGCTGATGTGTGTACAGATGCCCTTTTTGCGCGTATCTCTTTCCACACAGTGTGCACCTGTAGGGTTTCTCCCCTGTGTGACTTCTTTGGTGTATTTCCAGCTGACTGTAGCACCTGAAGTTCTTGCCACACTGTAAACAACCAAACCTCTTAGCAGCAGAGTTTCTCAAGTTGTGGATCTTCATATTTCTAAGCAGGCTTAAGCTCTGGGTGGCAACATTATTAGCAAAGGCATCGGCTGCAAATTCAAAAGCTCCATTCCGTTGTGTTTCTCTCTGCTTTGACCTAGGGAGGGATGGTTGCGTACCTATGTTCACAATGCTACTAACAAACGTAGGTTGCTGACAGCCTGTGAATGGTTTGGAACTCTGCGTTACGTCAGAACTCCTCTTAGTGTCTGCGGCTGCTTCCTTTCCTGTGGATGACATTAAGATCTGTTCATATGTTGTAGCTGATTCACTTAAGCGCCATTTTTATTCAACTTTAAATTGATCTAAAACCCTTTATATCAACAGGTAGTGCATTAAAACATTAAACTAAAATGTACTTTTACTGTTTGCAAATAAAGTATATAATATTTATAATTCTGCATAGGTTATGTTATGTATAAAAAAAGGAAAACACACACATTTAAAACAAACAAAATGCATGCTGCTATGTAACAAATTAAATACCCACTCTTTTCCATTGTCTTTTGTAATTCAGAGTCTCCAATTTCCACCTCTGACAGCTCTTCCTTAACCACAATTTGATTGTGATGCTCCTGTAATGGGGTTTGAACCTGCTGAGAAAGCGAGTGTGAATGCTCTGTGCACATGAGAATGTAAATAACTGCAAGAATGTGTCTTACTTTAGATGTAGGTTGCTCTTTCTCCTGATTTGAAATGCTTGTTTCAGAGAGGGAACTCGTGGTTTTCCATGGGGTTTCACGATGTTGTAGGGAGAAAAACTACAATCAGTTAAGCTGACAGAGTTGAACTGCTAGGAAGTTGTCTTGATGATGTCAAGGTACAACAAGGAGACAATCATGTTTACCTCTTGAAGCCATGTCTAGTAATGCCCTGTTCCAGAATACTGCTTGCTGGATTCTCCCTTATTATCGAGCACGCAGCAGCTGCTGTAGAATCCTGCCTTCTCTCCTGGGCGATGTACATTAATTTCTCCATCAGCTGCAGTTTTTCTGTAAGCGATGAGATCTCGTTGCGCCCTCGATTTATTTCGATTTTTAGCATCTTTGACTCGATCTCCACTAGTTTAGATATCTCCATAACAGCTGTTTTGGACAACGCGTCCATGATGGAGACGAGCTGCGACTGGAAGGAGAAAACACTTAACGCCATATTTCTCAGACTTTCTGTGGCATACCAGACAAAAACGTATTGTAGTTGGTCCCGTCAAAAGGTCTCTAGGCTTCAGTTGTGATATGTTGACACAAGTACCGCGTAAACGTGCCCGTAGGGTATGCGAAAGTACAGGTATATAAAACTCATGTGGCGGTATAATGCTTTATTTCCACCTGCCGGTGGGGAGGAGGCTCCGCAGCAATTGGTTTAAAATAAATATTTTAAATGTTTTTATATTAAATTTATGACCTGTGTAATTTTATGTTTATTGTTTAAATTTCACCTAATGTATGTAAATGTTTAATAAATCCCTTTCTTACTTGTGCGTGACTCGAAGATATACTGTACTTGGGCTTCATCTTGGACTTCAACTACCATAATGCATCGGAAGAAGCTGTTCTAGGTTGGCTTCGGTTGGCTGTTGGGAAACCAGCAGTAGGAAGTAATGCTTCGAATTAAATTTGCCGACTGAAAATCTTCATGAAACTTTGGACTTGAATTTCACTCTTTAGGTAAGAATTTTGTGAAGCTGGTTCTAGTTTATGTTTTTTTCTAATCTGTACCTAAAATTGCGTTGTTGTAATGTAATCCAAATGTTACCAGGACCAGGCGGACACTGGACTGGACGAGTACGAACCACAATGGCATCTTGCATTAACCACTCTGTTTTATGTACGAATCGAACCCTTTATTTATTATAGAAGACGAACAAATACTAATACGACCAGTTTGATTGTTTTGGTAGAAAGTAGCTAGTAACTATTACTATAAACCATTACAACCTCACACGTTTATTGTCTTTAATCTCAAAACTATTAAAATATATTTTTAAAATCTTTTCTATTTGATCATCTCCCAACTCTGCCCCTCCAGTTATATGAGATTATTTTTATAAAGAAGGCTGTGATTGTGGTCAACTGCATTTATACTAATAAAATGTAATTACACACTGCTCAAAGGGTTTGTATTTCCACACACTCTCTTTCATCCAGACAGTCATGGCTGCCAGGAGAATAGTGGTCTTCCCATCTTCCACAGAGCTTGGGCCAGCACTGGCACATTTGGTGACCTCTCGGGCCCAAAAAGCCATTGCATCTCGTGGGAGGTTTAGTCTGGGACTCTCTGGAGGAAGTCTGGTCTCCATGCTCAGCAAAGAGCTGCTAGCACTTCAAGAACTGGATTATAGCAAGTGGTTGGTTGGTTTTTGTGATGAACGACTGGTCCCCTTTGATGATTGTGAGAGCACATATGGACTCTACAAGGTATCAATTTAGGAGTGTGGTTTATCATGTCATGCTGGTATCACAACAGAAGACATGTCATCTGTGCTTCTTTTCTAGAGTAAACTGTTTTCCAAGATTGACATTCCTGAAAGTGGGATTTTAACCATCAATTCATCACTGCCTGTCAGTCAGTGTGCAGAGGATTATGCCAACAGATTGAAAAAGGTAGGTACGTGTTTTATTGTGAGTACAGTCAAAGAGCTCATCAGATTTGCAGTATTTAAAATGTTTGGTGGAACACTGGTGGAAAATTCCTCAATTTTTAACAATACCTGCTGATCACATGATGCTTTCTCTTATTTTTATTAAATTACACAATTGAACTGAGGAATCTTTTAGAAGAACAACCATATTTGTCCTCTGCACTTAACCCAACCCTAGGATGTTGTTGTGCTTTAAGGAGCGGCCGGAAAGTGAGGGATTTTGGTTCTTGCCCATCACACCACAGTTAGCAAGGCTTTTAACTTGTTCATATAATTACTTTCTACAGTTATCTGAATGTTATCAGTTTCTCTGACCACACGTGCATGTTTTGTTAAGCATGTGGTGCTATTTTGTCAGGCCTTTCCAGATGATGCCCTCCCTGTGTTTGACTTGCTGCTGTTGGGCATGGGACCTGATGGACACACCTGTTCTCTTTTCCCAGACCACCCTCTATTGGAGGTAAGGATAATAACATTTTTTTTATTATATGGTTTTTTAACTTTTTACATCTCACATTACTTATATGACAGTTTAAACATACATATTGTGTGGCAGTGGTTCACATCATTTATAATAGATGACTGGGTTTGGTTTGGTTTGGTTTGGTTTCATCCAAAGGAAACAGAGAAGATTGTGGCCCCCATCACCGACTCTCCCAAACCACCACCACAGCGAGTAACTCTGACTTTACCAGTTGTGAATTCTGCACGCTGTGTGGCTTTTGTATCCACAGGAGGAAGCAAAGCACCCATTTTGAAGGTAACATTAAAAGAGTTGTATTGGTGGGACTAAAGTTGCACAAAGAATATAATGTTGTCTAAAAGTTCAACATTCACTAAATAATTTTATGTGAATAATAAAATATTATCAACTGTCTAACACCTACTCTGAAAACTGTATAATAATGTTTAGACTTGCTCAGGAGATATACTTCATACTGTAGACATTTCACTGCTGTTGGATTGTAATGCTGTAACTATTCTCGCAGGAAGTGCTGGAGGGTAGAGAAGGTCCAGCGTTTCCAGCAGCTCGGGTCGTTCCAACCAATGGTGAACTGTTCTGGCTTGTTGATGACCCTGCAGCTGCCTCTCTTACTATACAGGTAGAGAGGCCAGGTGCAGGGGCCAAACTGTAGAGCTTTTTCCAAAACGGATACCAAAACGGAGACATTGAAAGCAGGATAAAGAAAAACATTTCTACCTTGAAAGTTCGCACAACAGTGGCTGTGTGTCTGACTTCAGTTTAATTCAAAGTAGTTTCTCCACACAGTTTTTTATTTGCTCATTTAAGGTTTGTCTTTATCAAAATGGCAAGTTGCACACTTTTCTGTCAAATATATCACGAGTATCTGCATCATTTAAAATTATGATGCAGCTATTTGCATTAGAAATGCATCAGATACTACTTAAAGTACAGATTTGCAACGTATTGCAAATATGTACAATGTGTGTTCAAGTGGTGCAGATTATGTAAAATATATGAAGGATGATATTGTTCCACCCAAATTATTTAAGATCATTGTTTGGAAAATGATTCATCTTTGTAATAAGTCACTGTATTATTACATTATGCAGCTAATTTGCCTATTATAACAAGCTCAATACATGCAAACTACACCATATGAACTTCACATGCATATTATAATTTCAGAAATAACAATCTCTTTGTGCTTTAATTCCCCACACTGACTCATAAAACTGATTTTGAAGGCATCTTGCAAAGGTTACAGCGCATATGGAGATAGAAGATAAGGCTGAAGACGTACATTTTTTGGTTCTTTTTTATCATCCTAGCAAGGTCTCTAAATCGTTTTGAATGCCAGAATACATGGTAAATGTCAGTTGTCTCCTCTTAGCAGCACCATCAAAGTTAGCATTGACCATGTCAAGCTATCGCCTCAATTTGTCTGAATTTCATTACTCACAAAAGAACGGCTGCATTTGTAAGAATAAAAATAAAAAGCTCATAAAACATGGTATTTCTGTCGTCACTGTCTTCTTGTTCTGTTGTCCATCCCCTTTAAGGATCCGCCCCTTTAAAGCGCATCATCGCAGTGTTGTCACATCAGGAATCAAGATTTCCTGTACACATTCTGCTTCTCTGTGATGACCGCAAAAAGTAAAGAGGCGACCTTTAAACGTTGTCCCGTCACGAGCCACAACCACCACTACACACCCACGTAGATTCTTTTTTTATATATACTTTTACCCATTTCTTTATTTATTACCGCTATGTTCTGCCCTAACTTGGCCTGCCTCTCCACCCCGCTGCTGCTCTGGCTGCTCTCCTGGTGCTGCTCCCCTGCCTACGGATACTTCGCAGAGGAGCGATGGTGCCCGGAGTCTCAGCTCCAAGCTCCGCGGCTTTTCCTCGCTCTCATCTGCAGAAACTCCGCTCACTCGCTGCCCTATTTTCTCGGCACCATTGAGCGACTCAACTACCCCAAGGATCGCATGGCTCTATGGTGAGTGTCTACACTGCAATGTTCCATGTATTTGCAGCAATAAACAGCCCTAAAGTAAACATAGCATCTCAAAAGTTGGTATGTTGTGCATATACAATAGTAATGAGCCAATATAATACGTGACTGATATGTGTACGGATGCTTGAATATATTTTATAAGGTTCAATGAAGTGACAAAAAGTGGGTGGTCCTGCAGAAAATGACCGACTATTAACGGGAAACGTGGAGGCTAGTCGTTCTGTGCAAGCTACAAGTTTCTTTTTCTCTTTTCTGACTTTACTCCATCAAAATACTAGAGGACGAAGTTCCAGTGTGTTGTCCTACTGATATTAATAGATGATGTGTTCAGTGTTCATCAGCCATGCATTGATCTGTATACGTGGAGGGGAGGGGACAGGGCTGGTCTGCTCGTGGGAGGAGCACAGTAATATAACGTGCTAATAGAAATAACTATGGTTCAGTCCACACGATGGATATACACACGTACAAACAAAAACACATGCACATACACACACCCTCGCGCACGCCCATGTAAGGAAACATTCACTCATCTTCCTCAACTATTCAATTATCTGACGATCAATTACACACATTATAAATATTAGTTTTTATAACTACTAATAAAAAATGGATGACCAAATTAGCATAACATAATCACCCATTATCTGTTGAAGGGTTAAACCTGTAATAGGAGGGATGCTGGTTCAAATCCTGGCCCATCCATGACTGTGGTGTGTTAAGCAAACATCAAAATTCCACTGCTCCTTTGGCTCACTAAAAAGTGCAGCCCACAGCTCCGGTGTTAATCACTACAGCGTTTCATGGAGTTGCCAGCAGAGACTCATTTCACCTTAGGGAATAATGAAACCCAGAGACAAAGACACTAATAGTACATTTTAGTACATTATTTCCCCGTACCTAACTTGACTTGTTGGAGAATGTGTTGGCCTTTAGTAAACCAAACATATTTATTACATATACCACCAGGGTAATCCAGCATGCTGACCAGTGTGAATGCAACATTAAGTTAAGATGGATCAGTCAGTTACTTGTAGTAATGTCAGCATTATGTGTGTTTTTAACCATTATAACACTAATTGCGTACATTTTTATATCAAGAAAAAAAATGCAAAAACTGTATTGTATTTAGATTGTAAATAAATATCAGGCTCATATTTTTTCATTTTATTCTCTTGATTTTTAAATTTTGAGGGCTGGAAAAACATTACAAATGTGGAAAAAACTATTTTTAACCTAAGCGACAAATAAATATATAAATATAATCACTATGGTCTTCTGTAATACAATGGAGGATAATGTTAGAGATTTCAACAGAACCTTTGTTTGCGTTCCTGCTCAGTCAGATACATATATAAATCATGTATGACTTAAATATTCTAGCTTAGTTTATAGGTCTTTGGTCTACAGTACAGCTAACACGTCTGCACTCACTGCAACTTTTTCTTTGAAAAATTTAACTTTCAGTTATAATTACACGGTGGTTGTGCAAATTGATGTAATAAACCTTACTAAGTGTAGTAAGGCAGAATTTGAGGGAATTTTCAAGGGAGGTGCTAACAAAGTGCTGACAGCCCACCCATGATCACACCCACAGAGCTGCGGGGTTTAAGATTAAGTGTTTTTTACTCAGCAAGCTAGTGAAAAAGTTTCACACTGACTTAATGAAGTGAGTTTCTTTAATGTATTTGGCGGTGGCAGTGTTTAGACATGTTTCACTAACAGTTTAGTTACCATCTGGAAAATGTAAGCAGCCGTCTGATGCTGCACTGTAAACATGTTCTATGAGTTCTGCTGATTCTCGCAGCTGCTTTTAAACATGCCAAAGACCAGTAACCCACAGGATCAGAACTGACCACGCTGCCACTTAAGTCATGGCTGATACCATGCAATTTAGCCTTTCATTTCTGTGAAAAAAAGGAAGCGAAACACAGGTTACAGAGACGCGATGAGAGCACCAGTCGAACATGTCTCAAAAATGTTTATTTAGGTTCAACATGAGACGTAATTCAAAGGATTTAGAAGGACGGTTGGCTGGAATGGGAGAGGGGAACACTCCTAACTTGGATCTGTAGCCATCTCACAGATTCCTGTGAAATCTTTGAAGTTGATCCACAGTGAGTGTCACACATATGTTCAAACTACAAACTTGGCTCACTTTGGCTGCACGTGTTCCTTTTGCAGCGACAGCTGCTGAGAAGTCATACGATACATGGCCGACTATTTAATGGAATGGATTAGTGTCTGTTGTGGCAATAGTTGATTCTAACTTACCAAACAGGGAGGTTCAAAGACTAATGGATGGTCTGATTTAGTTCTTTTCATAGCCTTGGATTAGATATGATTAGAATGCATGTGTTGAACAGCTTTACTTCATATCATAAATGCCCTAGGTGACCAGAAATATTCTCTGCCACAGAGGTCAAATGAATCTTTTTAATTGTGTTATTAAAAGATGTTCTAGAACTGAGTTAAAAAGTTAAGTGTTGTTCTATAAATGCATCATTTGTGTGTGTTTCCCACAGCCCCGGACAATGAGCTCCCACAATCCAAACACAGGCCCATTGTCATTTGAATCTTGGTATCATCTTCCCAAAAGTATCAGCTTTAAACCAGTTTGGAACGTGTGCTATATTTCAATTGTGCTTACAAACTTACTTGTCCTAGCTTCGGTTGTTTTGCTCAGCTCCTTGTAATGCTAAATTAGCCACATTTGTGTTCGTGTTACTCTGGTGCCATCTGCCATATTTCTCAGGGTGGTCTGTTCAGGCATTGACATTTTTAACAGCAGACAGGAAGAGGTTGAATAGAATAGAATAAAGCACGGTTTATTTTAGGAGTGCATTATTCACCAACTGTAGGAGGTGGAAGAGAGGGGAATGATAGCCATGTTACCAGATCTTCTCCTCCACCACACACACACCACACACACACCACACACGACCGACACCATAATCAGAAGACCACATACTGTAGGGCTGAACAATGGTCATAGTCAAACACTTGCAATGTGAAGCTCAACAGCAAATAGCAAAGGTTAACATATTTTAAGAGCAAGCTGTTATAGTTCACTCTAAATTAACAGTAGTTATGACTGTGACACCTGTGAGTTAGATGGACCTTGGACCTTTTTAGGGTGGATCCTACCCTTGCCTGATGTTTCCTGGGATTGGTCACAATGACCCTGAAAAGGATTAATCAGTGGAAGTTGAATGAATGAAGGAATGAATGAATACCAGTTATTTTTTGTTGTTTATCAACAGGGTAGCGACTGATCATAATGAGGACAACACTACAACCATCCTGCGAGACTGGCTTTCCACCGTGCAGACTCTTTATCATTATGTGGAATGGAGGCCAAAAGAAGTGCCCAGGTTGGTTAGCTTTGTTTTACTGTCGTTGTTAAAGAACACCGTGTGACAGATCCAAAGTCTGACGTTACCTAAATATCACTTCCAGTCGCTATCCAGATGAAGATGGTCCAAAGCAATGGACAGACCTCCGTTATGAGCATGTAATGAAGCTTCGACAAGTGGCTCTGGAGTCAGCCCGTGAGATGTGGGCGGACTACTTCATGGTAGGTCAACAAACTGCTCTTTACAGGCAATGAAAATCACAGTAACCAGTGATGCTGAAAGTGTTTCCATTTTTAGACCAGGCAAGACGTTCCAGCCCAGCCTATCTTTATTGTTCAATAATAGCAGCAGAGGGAAAAGTACAGAGTTGGGCCGAAATCACCAAAATGACTTTGGCAGTGGGATCAGTGTTTACCGGTGTGTACTTCTGTGGTTAAGTTGTGGTCCATCCTTTTTCATCTGGATCCATACACTGACACAAATCTGGACTCAACATGAACCTTATATTAAAACGGTGTTCTTCTCATGTCTGCATTCCTCAACTCGGCACTTTTTCTCTCTAGATTCAGTGGGGTATAATTTTGTAACAAAACGTGCGAAACTGCAATAATCTTAAGATACATTTTTTTAGAAACCACCAGAGCTTTTTCCATAAATAGAAACCTGGGTTTTTTTAAGCATCGCTGTGTTTTTGTCCAGTTTAACCTCCAGGACTATTCATTTATTCCACTCACTCAAAGATTCCTATAAACAAAGAGACATTACAGTTTCATCATCCCTCTCTCTGTAGTTGGCGGACTGTGATAATCTGCTCACCAATCCCGATGTGCTCTGGAAGATGATGAAAGAGAATAAGACGATCATCGCACCAATGCTGGAGTCACGTGCGGCCTATTCCAACTTCTGGTGTGGAATGACATCACAGGTACTGTGATGATGACTGGGTCTAGACCCTTTCTTAAATCTAGTCCAAACTGACCTGCTGGTCTGCTCTGTTCATCCAGGGTTACTATAAGCGCACACCTGCCTACATACCTATTAGGAAGCAGGTGCGTAAGGGCTGTTTTGCTGTACCCATGGTCCACTCCACCTTCCTGATTGACCTGAGGAAAGAGGCGTCCAAACAGCTAGCCTTCCACCCACCACACCCTGAATACACATGGGCTTTTGATGATATCATTGTGTTTGCTTACTCTGCTCAGATGGCAGGTACTGTATAACCCCCAAATTAAACACGTCGGTGATTTCTCCCAAGTGTTTGAACAGTCTTGGTCTGAAACATTTCCATTGACTGATCTTTACAGATGTCCAGATGTTTGTTTGTAACAAAGAGACCTATGGATACTTGCCTGCACCCCTTCGCTCCCACAATACTTTGCAAGATGAAGCTGACAGCTTCTTGCACACAGTGCTTGAGGTTAATGGTGAGTGGCTAGCTTTTCATATTTTCATATTCATACCACACCCCCAACAGCACCTTAATCATATTTAATACTGTGAAAACATCATAAACACCAGTGGTCCTAATACAGATCCTTGTGGAACTCCACAGGTTGATCCAGGTCCGATAAGAAATAGTTTAGTAATAAATATATTTTTAAATTTGTGGCCTAAATACAATACATACAACATTATAATATCTGCAGAATTAAGGGAGAAATATGCACATTATTACTTTTAAGCCACTATATTTCAAGATCAGTTCCTTTTTCAATATATATGTATATATTTTTTTCATTTTTGCAATCAATAATCCAGAAGTTTATTCTATATAATGGATTCCATATGATTCATTTACATAATTCCTGCTTCCGTCTTTATCTCACCATGTAGTGCGGAATTCCGCACTGACGCCTTCCAAACATGTACGTGTTCCCAGACGAAAACCTGACAAAATGGGATTTGATGAGGTGAGCAAAGAGTGACGTGAAGATGGACTCTCCAGACATGTCTCTCTTGTCATTTCTTTGCTCTATAGCTCCCTCTGCTGTTAAAATTGGAAACTACATTGACTCTTCTTCCGTTTGCCCATCTGCAGGTATTTATGATAAACTTACAAAGGCGAACTGACCGCAAAGAACGCATGTTGAGGACTTTGTACCAGCAGGAGATCGCTTGCAAGGTTATTGCAGCTGTGGATGGAAAGTAAGTTAATTAGTTGAATAGTATCATAACAAGTTTGAAACATGGAAGATGAATGTGTTTGTCAGTTTGTTATGGATTCTGTTGACTCTCTTTTCAGAGCAATGAACATCAGTGAAGTCCAGGCCATGGGCATCCACATGCTTCCAGGATATAGTGACCCTTATCATGGTCGCCCACTGACAAAAGGAGAGCTGGGATGTTTCCTTTCACACTATAAAATCTGGGAAGAGGTAAAAAGTAGAAGGCAAACATTTGAGAGTTGGCCTAGAACATGCACAGTTACAACATCATAATAACAGTTTAAATAGTTCAGTACTACTAAGATAACAAAGATGTATCCTTAACGCACTACTGAAGATCCATAATATTTTAACCTCTTAGGTAATATCCATCAGAAGAGCACATTTTTATAGTTGGGTTTAAAATGTCTGGGGGACGTGACATTTTGTGTTTAATTTCAAGACACATTTTATAAAACCTTTTATAAATTTTTGTGCTGATGAAGATTGTAGAACGGCAACTACACACCTCCCTGGTGATCGAGGACGACCTACGCTTTGAAGTATTTTTCAAACGTCGCCTGATGAACTTGATGTATGAGGTTGAAGAAGAAGGACTGGACTGGGACCTTATGTGAGATTGGACTTCCTGTCTTCCTTCCTTCCTTTTTGGATTTCTCCTTAGATTCTGCTAATAATGTTTGTCACTTGTGCCTTTTTTCATTTACAGTTATATCGGTCGCAAGAGAATGCAAGTGGACCATCCAGAGAAAGCAGTACCTAATGTGCACAACTTGGTGGAAGCAGACTATTCATACTGGACTCTGGGTTACATGATATCGTTACAAGGAGCAGAGAAGCTTCTGAAAGCAGAACCTCTGAAGAGAATTTTACCGGTGGATGAGTTTCTTCCCATCATGTACAACAAACACCCCGTGTAAGTTTAGTCTCATGTACAGCTGAGAGCAGATTTCCCTTTTCCTTGTGTTTTTTTAATCTTCCAGCCCTGATTTATTCACCTTCTGCTCCACAGATCTGATTACATGGAACAGTTTGAAACCAGGGACTTGAAGGCGTTTTCTGCTGAGCCTCTTCTGGTCTATCCAACACACTACACTGGTGATCCAGGCTACATCAGCGACACGGAAACCTCCACGGTGTGGGACAACGACAAAGTCCGAACAGACTGGGACAGAGCACGCTCGGGGAAAACCCAGGAGCAGGCTAAAATAAGTAGTGAGGCCCAGAACTCTGACGTCCTTCAGTCCCCCTGGAACAGTGCAGCTCGAGACGAGCTATGAGACTGACAGAGAAAATCAACCGGTGCATAGAACAAACCTATTTTTTTAATCGTGTGTCATATTGGATACTATTGATTTTTTTTTCTCAGTAGGGCTAGAAAAATGAGAGTGTGCAGAAAGGTTTATTTGACGCAAACGTGACAGTTAAAAAAGGGATGGAGTTTTCACCAGTCTGTCCGTTTGTATTTTTATATAAAGGCACTAGACTTGCCATTTGGGATGGCATTTGCAGTACCCAGCCTCTGTCTGTCATACAGAAATGATTCTATATATCACTAAATGATGCAATTGGACTGTTTCATTTCAGTCACTGGGCAGATAAGTAACGTTGCTCTGGTTTGACATGACACTGTGAAATGCTTTTATATTCTAATGAGGGATTTATCAAACCGTGTGTCGCTGAACCAATTCTGAACTTCATTTCCGTCGTCAGATGTCACAAAACCTGCATGTCTTTGGGTTTAGACGTTAGTTTGTTCTAATTAACATTTTTTGCTTTACTGTCATCTGCTGAATGGGCAAAGAGTTTGCAGTAAATCTTTGCTGAAGCAACAAGACATGTGAAAAACAGTTTGAAATCAAATACTGGGTAAGTCAATGCCATGTCTTGTTTGTTCCTTCCTGGTTTCTGCCTGCTGTGGCTGCAGTTGGTCTCTGCTGACTTCTGTCTGTTAATGACTGGAGACATTTTCATCACTGATTTTGCACAGAAATGTTAGCGGTACATTGTGCCTACAAAAAAATAAATAAAATACTGACTTTCTTAACATGGCTCAGTGGGTTTTCTTTTTTAAACACGTGGTAGTAAACAGTACATGTATTGTGGCTTTAGCCCTGGTTACATCCATGAATGCCAAACCTTTGGTCTTTTTGGGATCAAAAATGTTTTTGATCATTGTACATAGCAAGCATACATACATCAAAGTATAACTACAAAAACTAAGTAGGGTTGAACTTTAATTTGGGGCCAGAATAACCTCTAGGTCAACATGGTTAAAGCCTCCTCCATACAGATACAACCCATGGTCCGGGGCAGGTATCCCTTGCAAAAAGTTTAAAAGAAAAAAAAAACCCATAAGATGCCAAATTTCTTTCTGAATGAAAAATGCAGAAAATTAAAGATGTGCTTTCATTTTTTCTTATACTGACCTTTGTAAACCTCCTCTGTCAGGTGTGAAGTAAAACCAAAGTCATGTTAGTTAGTCTTATGATCCAAAGTACCAGGAAGCAGTAATCAAAAAGATAGTGTGGTGAAATAAACTTTAATGTGATGGCTCAGTTAGAAGTCGATGCATAAACTAATGTGTCTGTTTCTATCTTCAAAGTTCATCCAGACTTCAGGTAATACAGGCCTTGTTTCAAAATAAATAAATAAAGTCATGTCTTTTCTCACCTACTCAGTACACAGGCGGGGCCTACAGTAACAGAAAGATACACTTCCTCTTCCCATACAGCTGAGTGTTGGCCAACCACCCTTCTACCAGTGGAAGATCACTGAGAGAGCAGCAGAGGCAGGAAGCTCAACGCTGCAGGGCCTATAACTTACCATAGGTTTCAGTGCATCAACACATTTTCGTTGGGTTTCCTTCCTCTTGTGTGCTGCTTGTGTGGTGTGGTGTGTAAACGATGTGTGAGTGCCGTCAGTAGGCCTGTGTTTAGATCAGTTTAGAAATGGAAGAAGATCAAGTGTCCAATCAGGATTCTTCTCAAGCGGCAGGTGAGCACCAGCCGTCAACATCAGTATTGTTTTTATGATTCATTATATTGGCACGTTTTAAGGTATTGAGAAATGTTGTGTGTATTTTGGGTTTAAACGCGCTGATTGGAGATTTACTCCGTGACTTAAGATGTGGACGTAGCATGTGAGAGCATGCATGAATTGTTGGCACCAGGAGCCTGGATATTCCTCTCTGATGTGTCTGTCAGGACCTTTGTCATCAGAGAGGGACCGTGAACTTCCTGAACTGTAGCTCTGTTTTGACACAGTCTCCTTCTGTCTTTTGTACGACTTCTGTATTTTTATCTGAAAGGAAATTCACGCCTTTCATCTACTGCAAATACTAAAGATGGTATGACTCAAATCAACGAGTAGATCTGTGGAAATTCAGTAAAATATTTCCAGAACAACAAACAGAAAGGGTTAAAAAAAAAAAAGACTGTGTCCAGTTACATGGATGTCATTCTTCGTAATTCTCGCTCTTGCACCGAAACACTGCTGGTGTGAAAAACAAGGTCTTTGTGTTCAGTATGGGACGTGACACAAATTGCAAGCAGGATGTGGTTGACCAAAATGGAGATGTGTCTGAAACACAGCCAGAGAGAGAGATTGCTTTTTTTTTATCTCCTGCATCTGCTGTAAATTAGCAGTGTTTAAGGATACCAGCTACCTCCAGTTACACAAAAGCTACATTTTTGAGGTGTACTATAAAAATATTCTTCACGTGTGCTCAGAGTTCACGTTTAGTGAAAGGACTTTCAACAGTGTGACCTCAGGAGAACATTCTTCGTTAACTTCCTTTTTGTAATCCTGTTTCTTCTTCTTATTAATATGTTGTTCATCTGGTATACGGTTTAGTGTTTTTGCTGAGCAACAACGTTTTTAAAAAATATATATACAAACAGATTTTGACGTCTGCACTAAAGTTAAAAAATAATGAGTTTTTG